AGAGATCTCCAATGACAAAGAGTAGATCTATTCAGTTCAAAGAAACCACAAATGGAAATAACAAATTGTGTGTATGTAAAGCATGAATAAAGTATATATATATATATATATATATATATATATATATATAAAGAAAAAATAATAGAAAAATATAAAACAAAATAAATGTACATATGAAATAAGAAATTAGCATTATTAAAACAACAATTATATATATAAATAGCCTATATATCTTACCTAATAATTGTTATTTTAGTATATAAGTCAATTAGATATCTAAAATATATATTAAAATAATGATTAAATATAGTATTATATTATTTTTTTATAATAAAATATAGATTTTTGGTTTAATTCTGAAAAATAAACAACAAATAGCCTAACAAAAAACACAAAATCATAAAAAAAACAAATATAAAATCATATTAAAAATAATGATGATGACTTATTTGACATATTATCCAAAAGTAATGATTATATAAAGCATGTAACTAAGTTTAAACGCCAAACACTAACTTAGTTCTCATCCCACTCCACCACACATAGTTTGGTGCCTGTAACAACTGCATTTTGTTGCTTATAAAGGATTTTAGTTTCAAGAAGCGAACAGACACACAGCAAATATTTCATAATTATAAAGACAAATGCAGAATTTACTTCCACAAAACGTTATTTGATCAAATTGTGTCTGCAGGGCTTTGAAACCGAACTGAGAGAGTTTTCAGGGAAGCTCCATTTGTTTGTTTCAGCAGTGATCTATAACCGAGTCTGTTTATTTGTATGGTTATAATGTATGTGTTGATGGTACTGAAAGGAAAGCAGTGGTAATAAGATGTTATTGAAACCCTGAGGGGGACTGTGTCTCCATACAGAGTGGAGAACAGCCTTTTGCCCTCAGAGTGGACACCATTTTACAAAAAAAAAAAAAAACTAGCAATAAAACACCTTGAATGTCATTAAGCAGTTATTCTGAAGAACCTATAGAAGAAGACCTTTCTCTATTTAGCTACAAATGTGGAAATGGCTTTTCAAAATTGTGCACCGGACGTGTGGACTTGTTCTTCAAACTAAATATTTTGACATTAACATATTTTTATAGGGAAATGACTCAAAATCATGAAGTCTGCAGGAGCACTTCTAACTTTAATGGTTTTCCAGATTATACTTCAGATGCTTACCATACATTTATAAATTGTGCCAGAATATCAGTAACCAGACAGTTTCTGGTCTCATTGACTTCCATAGTAAGAAAAAATATTATGGAAGTCAATGAGACCAGAAACTGTCTGGTAACTGATATTCTTCTAAATATCAGAAAATCGGCTGAATGGATTCAAAAACGGTAAAACTCAACTGTTTAACTCTGGGGGAGTTGTAAAATGAGCCAATTTCCAAAAAAAAAAAAAGTGGAGTATCCCTTTAACTAATCAGACCCTACCATTAATGAAAAAAATAAAAAAATAATAAAAACAAACCATTATGGATTAAATTTACTTAAGCTAATTTTTATAATGCATTTTAAATTATTACAATTAGGAAACCTTTAATAAATATCCACAAAAGGCCTGCTTCATTGTCCAAAATCTTATTAAATGAATAAGATGTAAACGAGTAAGATGTGTTGTTATTATTAAATACAGTTTCATACTGTACAATGCAATGAAAATGTTAAAATACAAAATATTGAATTTTATTCACCCATATATTAATAAATTAGCATCTTAGAGATTCCACATAGCAAGGACTGTTTATTTCCAAGCTTGCAATGCAATGCTTTTTATAAATTAAAACTAAAATATTGTTTTGATTTATACAAAATATAAAAAAAATAAAAACTGAACACCATGAAAGGCAATCCTGACTAACTTGTCCTTCACCTTCTACATGCTCAAACTCAACTATATCTATTTCTGCCTCTCATCATGAATACATATTCGGAAGCTTAACATGTCATTAATCACATCAACCCAGTATATGCATCCACTGTGCAACAGCCAACTCATTTCTCTTTAAGAAGGAAATTAACTCTTCAGTACCTTTGAGTTAGATTGCTTAGATCGTTTACACTAAGTACAAGAGCTTGAACCTCAAATGAATATTTACATCATTTGAACCACTTGAATAACAAACTGTCCAAATAAAGCGAGTCTGATTCATCTGAGGCCTTGTGTGAAAAAAAATATTTTATTGAAATTGTTGTTCACCATTTGGACCAGTTTTATCAAATGACTTAACTGCCTCAAATAAATTATACAATAAACTGAGATCATCCAGCTGATGACAGAACTGCTTGAAACTGGAACAATAACTGTTTTACTCTCTGATTAGCCAACATTTCTTTAAAAAATATGTTTTCTCATCTTAACATCTTGTGGGAGCTGAAGCCTCACAGAGGACTTTATTTATTGCAGGACACTGCTCTGTGACGGTGATATTGTTGAAACTTATTATTACTTTCTTAATACTTTTTTTGTTGCTATACTACAGCTTTGGGATGATATAAAAAAAGAAATAGCAGCAAACTAAAGCTATTATCAAGACAAAATGTTTCATTTTTCCGAACTTTAACAATGACAAACTTTGGAAGAGCAGAATTTTTGCAGTACAGCTCGATATTACTGAGTTTGAAAAGTCATCTGTAATACTGTGTGTATATAACATGCAGGACAACCAGCTCATACCACCACTTCTCCATGTCTTTTTTATCTATACTGTAGACGATTTGAAATGTGTATAATACATATCTAACATATATATTATATACTCTTTTTGGGTTTATGTTTGCATATTTTCAATGCAGAACATTAATCCTCCTCTTATGTGCAAATTTAAGCAATGTATTTAATATGTGGGGTAAAGCTGTGTTTATTTCACACAAATCTGTGTTTATTTAACATCTCTGTTACTCTGTACTTGTTTTTTTTATAATTTTATAATTAGAAAATAAAGAAAAGCATCTCTACAAGTTATAAATAATTGTATTTCAAGATAATGGTATATGTACTGTACATCACAATAGGATTATTTTTGCTTTTAAATAATGCATTTATGATATCAAAATTACTGATACCATTGAAATTTCACAATTCTTGTCATCAATTTCAATTTTAGGCTGCAAAAAAAAAGAATACTAGCCTAAGTTAAAAAAAAATCCCACGCTTAGTGAAGACGCGTAAACAGTCAGTGATAAAAATAAAAGGAAAGAAACAATTTACAAGCAATGGGACAACAGTCTACAAAATGAAATAGATCTACCTGAAAAAAGTATGCTTATTAAAGTTACAAAAGTGATTCAGTCAAGAGCAGTGAAAGTTTTTCTCTCTTTTGTTGTTTGATTGACATTCATGACACAGTCAGCCACAGGTGTATTAGGCTGCTGTCACTTTAAGACCGAATGCACAGATACTGATACACATGCATTTTCTTTATCAACTGTTTATGTTCACGGTTATCCCACCTTAAAAAATCATGAATCGTGTCTACTGGTATATCACCCACCCCTAACAGACACATAAAGACTAAATCTGATTTTCAGATCCACTTTCCACTGGATCTTTCACCGCCTTTCCACTGCACACGTCAAACGACAGCCGTCGGACCGGAAGTCATTCATTTCCAGTGGAGAGTCGTACGGGAGCTGTGGGGAGTTCCGATCATATGCGTATGCGGGAAATTCGGATCCGATTTGAGCTTTGAATTTGAACTTTGAGCTTTGAATTTTGAGCTTTCCGATTTGAAAAATCTGAACTTCTGCGGCTAGACCGGTTGCGACCGGCCGACCGGATGTGATGTATTCTTCTAATCAAAACTATGAGCGTGAGGCTAGAATTACCAATATTTTAACTCTTTAATGTCTTAGTTCTGTAAAATGTCTGTTATTATTAACTATGGCAGAAAAATATTTTATAATTATTAAATCAATATTTATATTGATTAGCTCTATAAAATCTACTATGTTTTTATTTGAAATTTATTGAGGGTCATTTGTTTTGTGTAGATATATTCATGCATGCAATTTTACCATTGTGAATATCTGAGGGTAACGGTCGCTTCACAACCAATTTCAAAGTTCCGTGCGACTGACACTAGAGGGCGAAATGCGACAATCGTATGCGAATGTTGTGTGCCGCAGAAAGGCGGCTTTAGAATAGCACTCAACTATTTACTTATGGCGCTTTTCAATTAACAGTACCAGCTTGCTTTTCGCTCCGTTTTCCATTGCAGACAGTACCGCCACAAATAGTATCCGGTCGTCATAGCAATGCCTTTCGTTCCTCGCTGCCCCAACAAGCTCTCACTGGATCCTCTCTTCGGCAACCAAAAATAGGAAAGTCTGCATCTCCTCGTTTGACCACAGCGTATTCTTCAGAGTTGCCATAATAATAATAGTAGTAAGTTTAGTAACTATCTCTGCCCAAACTATTTAAAAATGGCAGGGATATTCTGGATACTCAATCTGGCGCGTGCAATGGTGTATAGTGACGATTCTCTCTGACCAATCAGCAGTCGGCACTATTTTTACGTCACATTTTAATATCGCCTCAGCTCGCTCAGAATCTCTAAGGAGGTGATACAAAAAAAGTACCCGAAAACAGGTACAGGTACCACTTTTACACAGTGGAAAACCAAACAAAGGCGAGCCGAGTCGTATCTAGTCGAGCTGGTACTGTGTGGGGGAAAAGCGCCTTTTGAAAAATGCTTAGCCTGAAGGGCTACAAAATCTAATTTTGAATCAAGAACTAGTGCAGTTTGAATGAGACCAGCTGCCAAGATGGTTGGATTACCAACTTAATGCCAACTCAATGAAGAGGGACAGTGTCTTTTCATCATCATTTGTTTTCAGACAGTGAGCTTATATGAGCTGTCCAACATTCAGTGAGCGACACCGCACACAGACGGCAGAATCAGCAATGGCAGTGGGTGGGATTCACGCTTTCCTCCAACGGTACAGGTGACAGATGACTCTGAGCTTGAGTGTGACTGTATGTGTGACTGCTTACCTGTCTTAGAGAAGATATTTCAGTATGGTTCCTGACAGACAGATATCGATTTTCACAGGCAGACTGAAGTGTGCAGGCCTAGAAGAGGACGGCTGATAAAAAAGAAAGAGAGAGAGAGTATGAAAGAGCATTAGTAGGAGTATAGTAACTTATTTAAAAGGCAGAAGGTATAGAGAGGCCAGAATGTAATGCACTCAACTTGCCAATGTTCATTTCCAGTGTGGAAAGTGGAGGCAAAACCATTTTTTAAACAATGACCTCCAGCAGCCTAATCAATTAATGGATCAAGACATTTACAGTACAAATTGAATTAAAGGGTTAGTTTACCGACAAATGAAAACTCTCTTTTACTCACAACTACCAACCACTTTGCTTTAAAAAGTTCATAAAGAGATTGTAAAACTATTCCATTAATCCAATAATCTCCCAGATTTTATTTAAACAATCTTTATTTGTTTTCGAAGATGAACAAAAGTCTTAAAGGTTTGGAACTCGGCATGAGGGTGAGTAATGATGATTTTTCTTTCCATTTGTTGGTAAACTAACCCGTTAAAAATACGAAATAGTTGTATGTATAATATGATAACCTAACAGGATTTGGTGAATTCAACATTCAACGTGCAATTTAAGACGTAAGATTAACAATGTTACATAGTACTCTCTCCATCCATCCATCCATCCATCAAAAAAGGTGATTAAAAATACTGCCAATTAAATGTACTTTTTGTCAGCTAGTTATTCCCCACACTCAACATAAAAATTAAAAATAAAAATAAAAAATAAAAAAATGCCATCTCCATCTTAGTATCTTCTTTATTGGCAATGCAAAACCATGAAATTCATGGGCTATTACATCCTCACATAAAAGCTTTGTGTAAACTCGACCAAACTTACCAGGGGTTCATAAATATTCTTGTTTGCTATTGCCTAAGATATAGATACTGTGAGCTTATCCTGACTTCATGTGTAAATAAGTCACTGTTTGTTCACAGGCGCTCCTAGTTAATATTCCATGTGCTGCGCATTGCAATTTACCATTCTCCCCAACGTCATCTTTTTTTCAGTGAGCTTCTTCTGCACAGAGAAACGTGCCTCTCATTAACCATGTAAAGAGAGACTCATTGGTGCTGACTGTAGTCATCTTCACACATTCACAAGCAGACCCAACACTGAATGCCATTGCATCAAACTGTAGTTTTGGTCAAAGGACTCATTCCCTTTTAATTATATTATTCTCAGAATAAAATGTATTTGATTAATCACAGATAAAAATAGCACACATTTGGTTTAGGTAGGCAACACTATACTACTATACAGTGCGAATGAATATGGATATTCTTACCTACTGCTCATAAAACATTAACTACTAGGCTTAAGTGATTTAACCGGTTTAAATGGAAAGGATCTCATGCTGACCAGCTGAAGACATTACTGTTGCAACACCCATTGATAGACAGGGTACTTCCTTGGTCATAAATTCCAGCACATTGCTACAACAACCATAATTAAATTACTTTTTTACAATGAACTCTGATAGAGAGCTACATATGGCAATTTATCAGTTCAATAAAATACCTTGCTCATCTGTTAAGTAATAAAAGTGATCTCTGGATCACTTTTACAACATTTCAAATTCCTCAGTAGTAGTAATAGGATGCACTTTATGTCAAAAAGATGATTGATTGACAGGTGTCCCGCCCCTTCCCGCCCCTTTCCCACGCCCCTTTTGGCATAGGATGAAAGGGTTGAATAGAGAGCAAAGGAGATAAGAGGTGATAAAAAGTATCAAAATGAGATAAAAAGTATCAAAAATGAGATAAAAAGTATCAAAATGAGATAAAAAGAGAGACATCTGGGTTAGCGAGATAAGATCAAAAGGCATCAAATGGGTTTGACAGTTAGTTTTATGACCTATTGACCGCTTAGCCTTGATAATGTCATTTTTAACATTTGTTTTTAATTGTAAAGATAAGATTAAAGGGATCAAATTGGATTTGACAGTTAGTTTTTTAACCTATTGACCACCTAGCCTTGATAATGTAATTTTTAACAGTTGTTTTTAATTGTAAAGATAATATTAAAGGGATCAAATTCGATTTGACAGTTATGGATTATCGTGGAGCCGCAAGCCCTTCCTGAACCAATGGACCGTATTTACCACCATTACTCTCAGTTGTCACCATCTCCAAAAAGACAAGCCAAAGTTGATTTTTTTTTTTTTTTTTTTTTTTTTTTTTTGCAGGCATGTCTTTTTTTGCCAGGGTGTCTCCGGCATGTGAACCTTTCTCGTTCGTCGTGACATCTAACCTATGAGTAGCCGGAACAGCTTTTTAGTTTTTATTTTCGCTATTTCATCACGTTTGGAGGGTTATTACCACTTTCTTGGACATTTTGATTCCTTTTTTGGGCTCAAGGACTAAGGATTCACACATAAGGACAACACTTCTCACACATGGACTATTTGATCAAGGACTTTCGGATAAGTGTTTTTTTTTTTTTTTTTCCTGATTTGACTATTGAGTTATCAATATACATTGTTGGTTAACCTGCTTAGGCCTATCTTTGTCTGATTTCAAGTATTGATAGTTTTCTTTTCCATTATTCATTCATGCCTTGTGAGTGCCCTGAACTTTTAAGTGACTTCTGGTTTACTTAAGTTGCAAGCCAAGTTTGTTACACACTCACTGACTAGATATGTAGTTTTGTGCATCCACACACAGTTAGCGCTGATGGGTTGGCTGGTGTAGGGTTTGGGTTGGATTAGAGTCTGCAACAATCCTTAACTTTTTAAAAAGTCTCTCAAAATTTGTACTTGTGTGTGGACGTACCCTTCCCTTTCTGTCCGATTTATCATCCATTCCCCTCAGGATTTACTGGTCCATTCACATTTGTTCATTTAATGGAGCGATTCCTCTTTCCTACAGCATATGTTCAGGAAAGTGAGGGTCAATTTATGAGACTGACACTGACAGATCCCTCAATACTAAAGCCTAAAATTTACAGCACGTCTAAAATCAACCCTCTACCTGACCATTCAGTCGTCTTTATTGGTCGCAGCTTTTAGAGTGCCTGAAGTGCTTGCTTTGACCTTCCACAGTTCAGCATTGGAATCTTAAGTTGTACCTTCAAAAGAAATATTAAATGTTTTAACCCTAAAGAAAAGACTAAGGTCACATTGTCTTCAGCTAAAGAAAATTAAAAAAAAAAAATAGTTTTCTCTTTCAGATATGCTGTCTTTTTAAACAAATTAATTGTTCTCATTCACTTAAAGGAGAACTCCGGCGCAAAATGAATTAGTCTAATAAAACATCGGTACCTAGTCAATCGTTCTCTGGGAGTTGTTTTCACGATAATCGAATGTAAAGAGTTTGATCTCTAAAAACTGTTTAGCGTATAACGCTAGTATATGGACATAGAATAAAGAAATCACTAGTTAATACCACTAACAAGGCTCAAAATAGCCCCACACTAACACAGTAAGTAATGAGGGTCCATACATGCAAAACGAAGCATTAAGAACTTTGTAAGTGTACAGACCGTTTAATAAGAAGATACTTTATAAAGACAGTTTACTCGATAAGTCGATCCCCGAACGCCGTTTGAACTCATTCATCAAAATGAACGAATCTTTTTTCGAGTCATTTGGTTGATTCAACGAACAAAATGAACAAAGACTCGAAAAAAGATTTGGTCATTTTTTTTTAATGAACGAGTTCAAACAGGAGAGTCAAGAATTTGCATCACAGCAAGCATTTGTGCTTATAAAACGTAAACTTTTTTATTTATTTTTGAAATGACCGATCGTTTCGCTAGATAAGACCCTTATTCATCGTCTGGAATCGTTTAAATCCCTTTGAAGCTGCACTGAAACTGTCTTTTGGACCTTGAACAGTTTGGTTCCCACTGAAGTCCATTATATGGAGAAAAATCCTGGAATATTTTCATCAAAAACCTTAATTTCTTTTCGACTGAAGAAAGAAAGACGTGGACATCTTGGATGACATGGTGGTGAGTAAATTATCAGCAAAAGTTTTTTTTTTTTAAAGTGAACTACTCCTTTAAATAAGGCAGATCAATAATATTGTTGAATATTAAATGTCCCCAACTAAGCAAGCCACTAGCCAAGGCAACGGCAGCAATGAACCAAACCTCCATCACGTGACAGAATGGAGAAAAAAAAAGAAACCAGACTCAGTCGGGGGCTAGTTCTCATCATCAGATGAATCAAAATTAATTAAATTTAAATTTATAAAAATTAAAAACACAATTTAGGCTTATTTAGTTTTCCCAAGTTCCCCCAAGAAACTTTACATTCGATCGCAAAGAACTCAGCAGTTTTCCCTCAGAAGTTTTTGTGGAACATTTTTATAGTGTACTCATTGTTTCTCAGGGGAATGCAAAACATTTTGCGAGCGAATGCAAATCGCAAATCGTTTGCGAGAGAGCGCAAAAGCATTAATTTTTCATCATTTTTACGTTACCAAATTAGCTTAGAACGGATTATACTGCAAAAGTTAAACTTCAGAGCCACACATACACATTTAATTCACTCAGCGTTGAGGTAATATCTTAATGTGCCATTTTACTCACATAGGAGGGTTTTCTGGCTTCCAAAAAGCTTTTACAATTGTTTGTCATTCTGTGGCAAAGAATAGGCCAAAAGGAATTGTTCCAATGCCATCTGCTCTTTAGTTGAGGAATATCAGGGCCGCTTCAGAGACTGAAAAATCATTCTGCCAAGCGTAAGACTGACTCACTGGAAGTGCTCAAGCTGTTCACAACAAACAAACTCCCTGGCTTTTGCCCTACATTTGACCCTCTGTGGAACAGCTTTCCAAAATCGGTCTGCTGTACAATACCTGTTATTTAAAAAGCCCATGTCAAAATACTCTTTCCCTGCGGTGAAAATGGCTCTCAAAAGCATTATGCACTACCAAAATAGAATAAAATTCCACTTTCAATTCTACTCCAAACTCAATATGACATGGTTTATATTCCAGAGCATCGTTACTCTACTTCCAACCGTATAACGTTTCCAATGGGATGAGGATCACATTAAGCATCAGAGCGTTCATAGTTGATGACAAGTTCA